ACGCCATCACAACCCCAGGAAATAGAAAGCAAACAAGCAGCTTTGCAGCTAATCAAGTTTAATTACCTTTCCAAATGCGAAAGGACTTCTGATTAATTGGTGCACCAAACACGGTTTGAATTGTATCGAACAACAAGCTCTCAGGAGTGCTCCTCAATTCTTGTACTATCTGATAAATAGTCTTTCCATTCTCAAAGTAAATGTGATTGTTTGGATGTTTTGTTTTGCAACCAGCATGGCGCTCAAACTCATAAGCATTCAGCACCTAATGCACAATCATATAATTCTTTGATGAGGAACAGAGAGGTTTAGCAACCAAATTTAGAAACCATGGGATGGCTTACCTTAGAAAAGTTACATGATTGACACCCGCAAAGATAGCCAGAACCTTTTATGACTCCACGAAGCTCCTTATTACATATAGGGATAAAACCATAAGGAAGAAAGCAATCACAACTAAAGAATACATGAGAAAAAGAACTGAATTACCTCCCGTGACAAGGAAATGTACTTCACAGGTACACCATCTAGCATACCGGTCGATATCAAACTTCTGACATTTGAAGGGAAGCTGTTTGGAGCTTCTTTCTTTGATGATTTGAACTCTGGTTTAGTCCTTGAAGCAGATTCAGGTCTTAATTTAGGAGCCCGAGTAGTACATGCAACTGCAACAGCAGTTGATGCATCCAGCTGTTTTTCTGAGGCTCCTTCCGATGATAGATTGGAAGATGGAGTGTATGAGGGCTCAAAGCTACTTAGAGGCCTCCCCACAGGAATAATCTCATGTTCTTCATGAAAGCCACCAAAAGAAAGAATATTGGCCTCCTCCTTACCATAAGTGTCACCCATTGATATAGGAATTTCATCACCCTTACCATAGGCAGGAGTTGCTGTTCTGATATGAATATCACCCCTGTTGTAGGTATGCCCCATTAGTGCAACATTATCATACTCCTTATCATAGCTATGCCCCATTGAAATGAAACTACTTTCATTTTCCCTGTCATAGGCCTCAATTGTAGTCATGTCACCGTTATTTTCCCTACTAAAACTATGTTCCTTTGGTGCATGCATACTGTTAGCAGAGTCCTTAACTTGATTGACCTTGACTTTTCTAATTCCACCATAACTAAAACATGTTTCAGGGTCTTCCATGGTATGAGATATTGACGAACCAACAGAGGCATCTTCACCAAAATGGTCTTCAATGCCTTTTCGTCTTATGTTATCCACTTCAACAGGAGATATGTTCCTTTCAGTGAAATTGACAGGCCTTTCAGAATCGGAGCCAAACAACCGGTCAATAAATTGGCTTGGAACTGATTGAAAACTGGAAGCATTTTCCCAAGGGGAAACATTTAAATTAGATATTCCAGAACTTGATTTGTTGTTTGGAGCTTGTATAGCTTGCTTCTTGCTGGGGAATAGCTGTGGTACAGCATCAACAAACCAATTATGAGACCTCTTAGGTTCAATTCGGGACGGATTATCAAATGCTGCATCCCCATCGGACATATGTGCAGGACCCTTTGCCATCCAAAAACTTTTATTCTGAAAAGACTGCCAGAAACAATCACTCAGAAGTTGCTTGTTTGTAATACTCCAGTGATCCAAATACCAACAAAACATTGGGAAGAAAACCCTTTGATTCTTTCACAGTAAAAGTTGTAATCTTAATCATTTTCAACAGTTATTCCCCACAATGAACCCCACCAACTCAACCCTCCTCCCCCTAAAGAAAAAGAAAAAGGGACAAAGAAAACTGTTTTTACATCAAATCTATTGCATTCACCTGCCAAAGTACGGCTTTGAAACCTTCCAAAACTTAGTCATAACTCATATGCAATATGCAACACTAAATGTACATTCTTTCAGAAGGGTGTTTAGAGCTTACTAGTTTTATTCCAATTCGAGGAGAATACTTCCCTCAACTTCACTCCAGGTTGACAGTTCTCCTTTGTTTATATATACATTTCATTTCAACACAAGTTTCAAATGGAACATTCATTTCTGCATCACTAAAATCCTAGTGAGCCAAAACCAATATAACTCCTCAAT